TTTTAATTGCAAGCAGCGGCAGCAGCAGCAGCACACATTCCACAGTAGTCCGACGGACGAGACGCGACACAGAGGCAAACAAACAGACAAACAGACAGACGGATACACAGATAGAAGTACGATTACGAGCGAGTCACAGCAGTGGCACCACCACAGAGGCTGCAACTTCATGTAAAAGGAGCTTGGCTGCAATCATTGCGGGGGGGGGGTTGTTAGAATTGAAATTCCTGGCAATAGATTTGATTGACTGCAAAACTCTACTAGTTAAATACTCCTCAAAATCCCATAAAAGGAGGGCCCACCTCAAAACTCTTTTGACTGAAAAGTTCAATCAACTTTTCTTTGATTGTTACTATGTGTGGGATATGGCTTATCCAGGGCAATCTCAAAGGATTAAGTATGCACATTCATGTATACAAATTTCTAAATTGACATGCATAAGAAATTTAAAAACAATGGCTTCCCAGAAGCTTCGGGTCAACCTGAGAATGCACAGACCATTACGCACACTGCACACAAATCGGTACACAACAACTACATATAAATAAATATCTACAGAGAACACTCCTAGTTGAGAACTGCACGTTCTACACTGGATTAATGCTTCTACTCTTGCTTCCTGGGCGCAGCTTCTGAACGTTGCCTTGACGCGCACGTTAAACCCCACCCCATCCGAAGGCTTTTCAGTTGGACAAATACCGGTAAAAGCAAAACTAAGGGGCAGTAGGAGGAGTGGGAGACGCAGGATCCAAGGCCTAATCCCCGCTCCAAGGGAAACAGCGAGTGAGTGTCTCATCTCTTCTAGATCGGTATCGACTAATTGTAATCTCAAAACAGTATCCTAAAAAAGCACACGGATTCTCCAAGGCATTTTACAACGATTCTCCCTCTGTTAACCCGTCCAAAATAAACCCTGCATTTGGTTCTGCATTCCGAGATCCAATTCAAGAATTTTCTCAAGTGTTTTGCTGCCACATTTTGTATGTTTGAGCATCGCAGAACTGGTTATCTAGCCGCAGTTTACCTGCCGCAGTGCACACACAGACGTTGCAGTCGGTGGCAGATACATCGACGTGTTTATTTGGGTCGCAAATGGCAATTCTCTCAGGGAGAATTGATTTCTAATTAAAATTAAAAAACATTTTGCATGTGCAAATATTCTCACACGTGTGGTGTCCCCTGGCATGCCCCTCCCAAGATCTGTGTCACCTTTTGTGTGTTGTTTCTATTTGCATGGCTCATGCCTCGTATCTCTCGTTAGCCATTTGTGGGTCAAGAGTGACATTTGCGTTAACGTCTTTTTCTTCTCTGTTGGCCTTTTTTTCTGCTGTGGGTGGTTCGTGGTGGCACCCTCCTTCTCCTCGGGGTTGCCCTGATTATCGAGCATAGACTGGTGGGGGTGCCTCAAAATCGAGTATCATTTTTCCATCAGTTTTTCAGCTTTTGGATTATTAAACGCTTGTCCCACATATCCGTCAATCGAATGAGGAATCGCACACGCCCCCATATGGTTCTTTCAAGCGCCAATTAGTGGCATGTAGGCGCTACAATGAATTTGTTTGCCGCCAAATGTGGCACACAACTCAGCTAACTAGCCAGCGGCAAGCGGCAGCAAAACGATATAAAGATCTAGATAAATGCTGGAAGATTTTCGAGAGGAATAGAGAAATAGAGGAACCCTAGACATATGGCTAAGAGTAGCTTCAAATCTTCCCCTATATATGGCTCATTCGTTTGTAGAGAGAAAACTGCCACTTGGGTGTGAGAAACATCATTCAATTCATCATTTAAAGATCGTCGAAGTTCGTTTAAAAAGCAAATTTACAAGTTTTCAACGACTGTGTAAAGAGGTTTAGGCGTTTACCCTACCACATTTGTATGTCAAATTCCACATGCATGCACATAAATAAATGGTAATTGAAAGCTATGCAAATGGATGGAAAAACTATTGGAAGAGCGTTAAAAACTTTGCTTAATAGTTGACCCTTAATTAGTGGCTAGGAGAAAAGAGGAGAAACACAATTAAAAAGAGCAAACGTAAGTACTAGACAGAGCAGTGGGATAGGGCAGTGTGATATAAAAAATTTGCACAGGAGTAGAGGTGAATATTCTGCCAACTCTTTTACACCTCCAAAAGAGATTAAAGCGCTTCATATTATTCCATAAACGGGGTAGAGTAACTACCGTTCGTCTTTCCCATTACCTTTTCCGTTTATGTTATTTTACACCTTGTGTGGTGTTATTTGTATTATTTTTAACAAATGAACAAATTCTTTTGTTGCGAGCGATTAAATATGCGTTTGGGGCTGAAGGGTGACATAAAAATACATGTGACGCGTTTCTGCTGCAGCCGCAGCAGAAGTAACGTACGTGACATGCATGCAAATGCATTATGCACATGCCCAACACCCCGTTCGCACCTTGTGCTTTGCAACCGATAGCGATACTTTTTTCAAAATTGTGAATGAAATTCTGCGAATAAAACAACACAGAATAGCTTAAGCGGATTCAATTTTCCCTTGAGTTTCGGCCACAAAGAGGACAATCGCTTGGTTTTTTCCAAAGCAATAGCAATTATTTATAAATACCATGGAATTATGCAAATACATTCATGAATTCATGAAATTAATGGATCATCTGCTGACAATCTGGGACGTTTAAGCACAGGTTTCAATCAAGTTTTAGGACACTTCCACTACCAAATGTAGGTGGTCTTTTAAGCAAAGTTTTCTCCTACAATTTAGCTACAGTTTTCCCCAGCTAAAATACCATTCCATATCATTCCTTAAATATCATTGTAATAGACTACAGACTGTGGCAGTGACCACCCTTCCTGCTTACAAAGCGAGACATTGTGCCTTGGGGCGGTGGGATGCCTCTGCTGATGCTGCTCTCCCGATGCTGCTGCGGTGGTGCCGGTGCCGTTGTTGACATGCTCTAGAGTGTCGTCTCTGAACCCAAGAGCATCCCATCCATCCATCCATTCGTATCATCTGCTGCATCTTCATCATCATCGCGTTGCATCATTGCGTTGGAACTGCGAGAAGGAGGAGGATGAGGTGGCAAAGTGCATTCTAATGAAAGTTCAATGAACTGTGAACCACACAATTCTCATTCTGTTCGCTCATGTGCTGCTCCTCCTTCACTGCCTTTCCTCCTCATGATGTTGCACGCACATCGCAAATTAACACAATGCTGCATTTGTGCTCCCTCTCCGCAAAGAGGGAGAGCAAATATCATATTTTGTTCATGTTTTATAGATCTTTCTCTCTCACAGAGAGTGTAGAAAAGTCTTCAAAAAAGTTGTACTTTGAAGAAAATAGATTACATTTAAATACAAATGTAAGAAAAAACCAAATTTAGCACGACAAATATGAACATATGTTCGGCAGTAAGAAGATTTTTGATCGTCCACTCTTCACATGTCAGCTCGTTGCGTTCACATGTCACTCACTCGTTACATGCCACTTGTACCCCTCTCATTACGTACCAATTCCTTACATACTGATCGTTACTTGTACGCCGACTCGTTACACTCGTTCTCCTTTCTTTTATAGGTGCTACCTATGTTATGTTCATACCACTCATTATGCATATACCACACTCGTTGCATGTGGCACTCTCGCTATGTGTGCCACTCACATCACGTGATGGCCCCCTATGAATATCCTTGAACTCGACAAGAGTGAAAACGCTCTCGGGGGCGACGTTTTTAGTGTAAACAATAAAATGGAATAAATGAAATATTTATGCACTTAAGAGCCACACAACAACAACAGCAATAATACTAATATAATAGCCATAAAAGCATGAAAGCACCAGAGAGAAACAGAGAGAAAATGCAACCGAGAAGAGGCAATGCCACATGCTTCAGAAACCAAGTGGAAAGATGCAGCAGCAGTAGGAGGGGGGAGGCAAGCACATTGTTTCGAGTGTGAAAAAGAAGGCCAAAGAGTAGGCAGAAGGCCAATGCACCAACCTCAAGATACTATTTGTTTTTTTTGGAGGGGAGGATTATCTACTTACATATTTATACTCAGGGATCCGTACGATACAAGGAGAACAAAAAATGGCAATAGAGAATGAGTGCGATCCACAAATTCCCCTAAACGAAAGGACACCGTCCTCTCTTTAGGTCCAAAAGTTAGCTCATAGATTTTAAGTATTTCGGGCAATGGGATGCCCGATCCTCAGTATTTTCGTACACCTAAATTTGTGCCACAATTCAGTGGCAGCTGTCAAACACAGGGAGAGACAGAGAGAAAGAAGCATCAAAACAAGAGAACCTGCGGCACAGACAGTGCGTTTCTCTTCCCCCATTCAAAACAATTCTAGTAATTGCAAAAAAACAGGGCCCGCATAATGTTGTTCGATTCAATTCGAATCGCAGTCGAGACGGCAAAAAGCTTCCCAAGCAGCCGTCAAGGACAGAGGGCAGCCCTTGGGGAACAGAGAATAAGTACAGGCAGAGGGTACAGAGACATGAAGTCAGACAGACACAGAAGAAGGGGCACACAGCAGCAATTCGGAGGGCTACAATTTTTAGCAATGTTCCTGCAACAGATATTATTTCTTTGATAGTTTCTTTACAACTAAAAAGTTAGTCTTTCTCAAAGAATTGTAGCAGGTTTCATTCGTTTCTTCCTTAAATATTAATACTTCAGCTACAAAGATTAACCTATTAAAAATAAAAAATGTAACAATAAATTTACTTTAGGCTTAAACTTAAGTATTTCCAGGGTATTTGTTTGTAGTATATACCCAGTAGTCTTAAGTTTACCCTTATATTTCCTTAATTTGATAAGCAACTAATAATATTCATCGGTATAAGAGCTTTTTTGTTAGTTAAAAAAAAAAGCAGGAACACATGTGGCTTCCTGTCCCACCCTCCCCTCTGGAATATTGCAAGAACTAAAAATTCATTTTTATTTCACCCATTCGCTCCCAAAGTTTGGGAAGCTGTGGGGGGAAATATTTCCTCATGAAATGGAAAAACTTACCCGTGCAACGGCAAAAGACGAGCAACAAATGTGCTACCGAAAATGCTGCAATGAAAGTTTCGGCGTTTCCGGAATTTCCTTTTCCTTTTTTGGGTTTTTCCTTCCCTTTTGGCTGCTTCCTGATGATGCTGCTGCAACAGTGGCGGCGCGGGGAAGAAAAAGAAAGCAAAAAAGATGAGTACAAAATAAAACCGAAATGCAGGGTCGGTAGTTGCAGGCTTTTCTTTGGATTTCCCTCAAGTTTGGTTATCTAACCCTTTGGGCCGGGCCCCAAAAAGGCTGCCGGTTGACAATTTTTCTGCTAGCGGCCGAATGAGAGAGATGGTGAATGCGAGGAAGCGGAAGCACAACGGTGTTGCCACTCAACGGCTGGTTTCTGCCTGCCCTGCCAATAACGTTATTGATTTTTTTTGTGTGTTTTTTTTGCGGCTTCTGTTTTTGTTTCGCTTTTAATTCCCGTTTTTGCATGTGTGCGTGTGCGTTCTAATGCTTCTTCTGGTGGTTCCTTTGTTGCCTCTAATTTATTTGCTGCTGCTTCTCCTTCTCATCCGGCTTCTGCGTCTCCTTATTCTTCTTATCTTCCTACTGCTGCTGCTTCTGTTTCTGAATCTTCCTTCTCGCTCCTCTTCTCGCCCTATTCCTGATAGTCTGCTTCTTCTGTCTCGCTACCTTCTTTTGGTGTTTCTGCTTCTTCTCCCTCTCTTCCTGCTTCTGCTGTCGTAAGCCCAAAAAAAGGCGTGTGGCAAGAGTCAACGCAACGGCTAAGCGCATCCCATAGACAACAAACACACACACACACACATGCACAATCACAAACGCAGACGACATGCGGCACACACAAGAGAGACAGAGACGAAGAGCACAAGAAGAACCAAAAACGACAAAAGTAAAACCAAAAGCCAAAAGCAAAAAAAACGAGTTAAGACGCAGACAATTCAAAGACAATGCGTCCAGCAGCAAGCAGCAGATAAACGCCGCAGCCAACATTTTCCTATCCGACTGCATTTTCATGCCCAACATATTTGGATGGCTTTTTTTTTTTGGGTTTAATTACTTTTTACTTAGAGCTGCTCTTTCTGTTGTTGCTGATTTGCCTTCCTCAAAGGCGCGCGCGCAATTTTTTTTGTTTCCTTAAACAGTCAAATAAAACCGTTTCCACACACACTTTTCTTGGCAAATGCAAGGGGGAAAACACCGAAAAAAAATAATGCAAGAGTCGTGAGTTTCGAGTAAGTCGCGTTGACGAATATATCTTCAATAAAAGTAAGAGGCTTTGCTTCTATCCACTCTTGGTGCTTTCAGCAATATTCGAGAGTTTTTTGTTCTTAACGACCAATAACGACCACAAATTCTTGACTATTTTTCTGGTGTGTCCGACGCGGTCGACATTTTCATTCACGCTCGGTTCAAAAAGTTATTAATTTTATTCAATGGATTCAATGTGGCGGTAGAAACCATACTGGCTTGGTTTTGTTGTCATATCGTGAATGGGGAATATTGCCTTATTGTGAACGTGCGCATAAAAGGTGCGCGAAATAAGCCACCTTACAAACAGAAATACCCTTGATCAATTTTCAAATAGTTTTCTTTCCTTAATTATGTCTTAAATTCAACAAATTAATGTGCAAATATTGTGGAATTAATTAAATAATTAAATAAAAATTAACTTATATAATTAAATATATAAATAATTACTAAAACCCTTATATTGTCAAGCAAAAGAGCTTTCATGGTGCGAAATTTGTATCAAAAAATAAGGTGTCGACAACAGGCAAATACGTCACAAAACATTCCGTCAGCGCTCGCAAACAAAACCAAAAAACTAGTGATGTTACCCAAAACGTCGATATTTTTGTGCGATAAGCATTACAAACTCATCGGTTTTTATATAACAATATTAGAGACGAAAAATCATCTAAAGATTATTTTGTGAAACCACAAATAATGTAAAAATTAAATTGGCATGGGCAAAACTTTTGATTTATGAATCAGATTCAGATAGGAATTAAGTATCAAAACTATCGGCTGCAGGCTTTTTGTTTCTTCGCAACACTATATGGGAGAGAGGCAAAAAGTTGTAATTTCAAACACAGAGCTTTATTCTGGTCTTGTCTGCCAAAAAGATATTTACGAGGCGTCTATGTGAAGAGATGCTGAATTTCTCGATGGGATCGCCATTTCCTTTCTCAAATATAGCTGTTTTTGCGGAGTGTAAGATATACATATTTAACTATTTCGAAATTCCACTGTACTGTTCTTGTGCAACACTGTCAGCTGTCTTGGGAGAGGAAAGCTTTTCCGCCTGCCGTTTTCCTCCCCTCTTAACGTTATGTGTATTTGCTCTTAATTTTTGATTGTTTTTTTTTTATGTGGAAATGAAACGAATTTGCGGCAGCTATTGACACACAACTTAAGTGGAAACGCAGCTGCACCCAACCGCTGCACTGTCTCCGTCATGCCACAGCGCTGCCAGTGACATATAGTGTTAAATAGTGACGGAGAGAGAGAGCGAGGTAGAGCTCTCAAAAGTGAAAACGTTCCGGAAAAGCAGCGTGAAAATCGCAAAGCAGAAAAGACACAGCCCGTGCAATGTCAACAGAAAGCAATACGCCCGTGGATCCGCGTGTCCAGGTATGTGGCTGGGATGGGAGCACTGTTCCAAAAGCACTTACGAGGCGAAAACCCTCCCCTTTGTCCACAGATTGAGCTGGAGAAATTGAATTCTGCAACGGACAACATCAATCGATTCGAAGTGGAGCTCGATGTGAGTGTTTTTTTTTTGGCCTATTGATTTTTCACCCATTCACTCCATTTTTCTGATGTCCCGCGAAAGGAGTCCAAGTGCGAGTTCAAGCGTCTGCTTGCGGAGAGCGTGGTGCGCATCAAGGCGGCCGCCCACAAGCTGGGAAACTCCATCGATGCCGCCAAACCGTACTACGAGTCGCGCATCTATGCCGCACAGCTGGCCAAGGAGACGCAACAGTCGGCGGTTAATCACGAGAAGGCCAAGTCCATTCATGCCGCCGCCAAGGAAATGGTGTACTTGGCCGAGCAGGGACTCGGCGAGAAGTCCACGCTGGACACAGCCTGCCAGGAGATGCTCAGCCATGCGGCCAGCAAAGTGAATCAGTCCCAGCTGGAGGTCACCGACACACGCAATGCCTTGAAAATGTGCCAGCTGAAGCTGGAGGTGGCCAACAATCGGGTGAACAAGCTGCAGGGACAACTCAAGCAGGCGCTACGAGCATCCAGGTACATTTCTGGCTTTATATATGGTGCAGGATACACAGGAATCCATGGGATGCCACTATACGAATTTTTCGAGCTTTATTTGATTGGTTAATATTTTTAATGATTTTTACACGAGTATATTCCAAAGATTTTGTATGGGAAACCTTGAGTTTTCTTAGTTTTACGAGCATAATATGGACTTATTGGGTACTGAGAGCGTTCCTCCTTGTCTGTGGTCTGTTTTAAGTGATAAGAGAGCCATATAACAATTAATTTTTACAAATATAAGTGTGATTGGGAAAGAGTTAGTGTTCGATAATGGTCGACTAAAGACAAATACATGGAAATGTAGGTGTAATTTGTATGGAAATGGATCTCTAGATCTATTGAAACTAATCTTAATCTTTTAAGGGTTTCCTATTTGGTTTTTCTTGATTTCCCTTTTGGCTATTTGAATGTAACCTTATTTGTTTGGTACTCTATGACTTTATGTTTCCTTTTCGTTTTCTGTTTTTAATTTTTTTGGATTTCTCCTATGCTTTTCCTATACGTTTTTCCGTTTCCTTTTAGATTGCAGCTCAAGCGCAATTTACTTTTGTTGAGATACTTTAGCATTATGCACGCTCTGCACTGTACCTTGTGTTCGTGAGTATGCCTCACCCGCCCACAAGCACTAATGCGGGGCACGCCCCCTCCCCAAACGCTACTCGTTCTTGTTCCTCCCGCATCCCGCAGGCCCTATTACGAGACGCGTGCAAACTACAACGGACTGCTGAAGGCGCAGAAGCTGCGGGTCAACGAGCTGGAGGCAAAGGTCAGCGCCGCCAAGCTCACCTACAACGAGGCCCTGAAGAATCTCGAACAGATCTCCGAGGACATCCACCGACAACGACAGCAGCGCAATAATCTCCGCAACTACGAGGCCATGCTGCGGCAGGTGGACGCAGTGGATGCTCTCTCTGGCGGTGGAGTGCAGAATGCCAGAGGCAGAGACAGGGACGATGGCGATAACGATGAAGCGGATGAGGTGGATCTGGAGGAGGAGGACTACCTGCGTATGCCCGATCGCCTGGGCAGTGCGGGCAGTCCACCGCGTCAGTGTCTGAGCGACCCGCACGACTGTCCCCATCTGCTGACAGACTTTGAGGCGGTGCTAACGTTCCCCCAGAAGCTCGCGGGCGGTATGCACAAATCCGCCAGCACCAGCGCCACGGACGGAGACACCAATCTGTTCTCGGTGCAGGCCCAGGGACTCCATGCCCCCTACGAGGTGAAGCAGCGCTCGGAGTCAGGCAGCGGTTCGCTGGGCGGTTCGGCGTCGGCATCGGCCTCAGCATCGGTCTCGGGAGCACCGGGCGACAACGACATTGAGCAGTGGACGGAGATCCGGTTGTCCCACTCGGACAGCACCAGTTCCAGCTACTCGAATCAATCACTGCTGGATCAGCACGGACTTGAGGGTTCCAGTGGCTGCGGCGGTGGAGGTGGCGGCGGCCTAGGATTTGGTCTGGGCCGTGGCGGCGGCTTCGATCCGGATGTCCTGTCGCAGCACTCGGGTTCGTCCTCGGACGAGCCAAAGCGAAAGGTGACCTGCACCACGATATTCCAGGACGACAGCAGCCACTCCGCCAGCGGCGGCCAGCAGATGAGCCGCAAGCAGAGCCTCAGCCAATGGCTGTCCCGCTCGAACAGCTTCAAGAGCAGTGGTCGGAGGCAGAGCCTGGATCTGTTGATCGATGCGGGGGACAAGGTGAAGGATGTGTTTAGCTACGGTTTTCAGAAGGTGGGCCGCAGTCTGGAGAGACGCAACAGCGAATCGGAGATGGCCGCCAGCGAAGCCGGCGGGGCCGAAGCTGAGGCACTGCTGGGTACAACAACGACGGCGACGGCAATGTCATCCCTGGGCAGTGCGGGAGGCGGCAGCGGCATCACTAGTGGAGGAGGCGGTGGAGCCGGTGACTTTTTCCTCTTTAGCAGGTCAGTAGATGGTGGAGGGACGTCGGGCGGCAGTGCCAGTGGGAGTGGCGTTGGCGGTGCTGGACGTGGCCTGCTAAACTCGCTGCAGAGCCGCCTGACGAAGCTCATTTGAAATATTAATCTCAAATAATCAGAACAAATCCGAGATGATCCATGAAATAATCCATCGATGATTTTTATGCACCCATCTTATCCACCGAAAAACAAGTTACAAAAAAAAAACAGTAACAACAGTAAACCAACCAACAACAACAAAAGTACAGCAATTAGCAACAACAAAATTAATTAATGAAACGATAAATTGGCTGCTTTGATCTCTCTCTCTCTCTCACGCTCTCTGCTTTTTGCTAAATTTGAACAACAACAACAAAAAACACATTCTCCCAAGAACAAAATTAACCGCAACTACCAACAATAAAGTACAACTACAACAACAGCACGAACGCACACACGCTTAAATAAATATATAAAAAATCCTCCCAACAACAATTGCAACAGCAGCAACAACAGCAAAAGCAAAAGTAATAATGTTCTGTATGTACTCATAAACGTAAAAGAGAGACAAATTATTTGTATGTGTTGTGTTTTGCCCCGTTATTGTTCAGTTTCACCTCTCACCGTCATCACATCACCCGCCCGTTTGTAAGTACTGACTAAACTAGGCAGGCAGGGGCAGGCACTCCTAACGGCATGTAGGCATTTCTAGTTTAGGAAGTACTTGGAAAAGGCTTTACTTGCTCTCACTTACTCTCTCTCATTGTCTTGATCCTAAGTTTGTTTGCTGTAAATGTAATCGCTGTCACCACTATGCCTGCTGTTTAAAGTACTCCCTAAACCATGCAAACAATTCTCATTAGATTGACTTGTACTCGTTTAGGAAGTGCTTAAGCTTGGAACTACACTCTACCTCTCTGTATTTACCTGTTATCCTGCTTTCACACTCGCTCTTCATGTTCGCTCTATGGCGTTCTCTCACCCACATTACTCTTCATTACACAACACTCTATCGTTCTCACTCTCTCTCTCGCTCGCCTCAGACTCTATTCTTCCTTGGTTGTTGTGTAGCTGTTTTTCTCGAAATATTTTGTCGTACACAGCAATGAAAACTTAATACCCTAACTTTGCAGATCGTCAGAGCCTAAAGAGTTACTATCCGATGAGCAGGTTGAGAATTTACTATTAAATCATACGGTGGACGAGCACGGTGCTATAATAGTGGAAGAACTTAAATCGCCAACAACTACAACTACTACAACAAGCATGCATCACACACACCAACAACAGCAACAACAACAACAACAGCAGAAACAACATCATCAATCGCTAAATGTGGTGGGAGCTTTGTTGTTCTAAAAATGAAATGAAGTTAGTGAGTCTCGCAGACAACGAGATACCGTTACTAAAACACACACTCACACACACACACACACAAACACACACACAAACCCACGAACACAAACATTTATAAAATTATGGCAAAATTTTTACTCTATGAGTATTTTGGTGGGCATTGCATCGACCTGAAAAGAAACGAAAAAACAATTAGTCAAAAAGTAGTACATATCATCAATCCCAAAACCAAATATAGTGTGTAGAGGAACCAACCAAACCCCATGCAGGTACCTTTTTACACTCATAGTATACACACACTCACACAGACACAAACTATGTTCTAATCCTAACAAAACAAATGTGCAATAATTTTTGTGTTTACTTAGAGGCATACGAAAAATAAGATGGTTACATTTTATGCTGTTTACAATAAGCAAATAACTAAAACGCTAGTCAAAACAAAACAAAAACGAAATCAGTTACAATGTTTTTAGTGTGTATTAGCTATACATTCAGCAGAAGCATAAGAACAGAGAAACCCAGTAATACTTACAACTAATAATTGTACAAAATAATGCTATTTGTGGCGTACGCAGGAAGCGAACTGGTAGCGACTATACATTCGAATTTTCTTTTATAGAAACATTAAATGTTAGAAATAACATTCATAATGTATGTATGTTTGCTATGTATATTCTAGTATCTGCTTCTAATATCTATTCCATTCATTTTCTGCCTACGCCACTGAATGTTACATACATAGATACATTTATTGATACCTGCATTACAATTATATGAATAGTATTCGAAAGATCGGTGTGTTTCATTCAAATTGGTGACGGTTATTTGAAATTACCTTTAAAAATAACAGTGATTGATACCTGCATACAAATTACAAATACATATGATATAGTATTCTTTAACGAAATTTGTTTTATATTTTGGTTAGGGAAAATTTAGAAATGTACAGGGTATTTACAAATGCATCTCAAATAAATTACTTTCTAACAAAACTGTGCGTATAGTGATGGGCCTGCAGTGCGCCTAACCATCGTTTTACCAGCGATGTCGGCTTATTTTCCAACCATCGATAGTATCGATGCCACTATCGATTTTTCTCCCAGCCCTAGTCAGCTGGCAACGCTTCTTGTTTTGGTCAGTTCTAGAAAAGATTTGCATTTATTTCCAAGCTGGACAACAATAGGACGTTGTTTACGGACCCGTTCAGTGCAGACAAAGAGCAGTTCGGAGTGCGGACACTTGTGCTACTTAATCAGAAACCACATTCGCTGGAAACCACATCGCCATGGAGCAGAAGAAGAATGTCGAGAACAAGCCCATTCGCAAGGAGATTATCAATCCGGGAAACGCTTACATTGAGCTTACGCCAGGCACACGGGTAGGATTTAAATCCAAGAAGCACGAAATACAAAAAAAATCAAACAAGCAGCAACAGCTGCCCCTGCTGCCCACCCCCATAGTAACAAGTGAAATTAGGCCAAGGCCCTGGAAAGTTCATGCAATAACCCCTCCCTCCCCTTGTTGCTCCTGTTTACAGGTGAAGTTCCACTTCCTGACGCGCACAGCCCATGACGGACGCACTGTGGATGACAGCAGGAAGATGGGCAAACCCATGGAACTGGTCCTGGGCAAGAAATTCAAACTGGAGGTCTGGGAGGTGATTGTGCAGCAGATGTCCCTCAACGAGGTGGCCAAATTCACGGTGCACAAATCGGTATGTATACACCGGAGAGTATGTCAGAGAGAGAGAGAGAGAGCGAGGTCTGCAACACGATCTCACTGACCCAATTTCCATTATATTCGCCCGGGCAGCTATGTCCCCAGTATCCTTTCATATCAAAGACATTGAGGGACATTGGAAAGAAGCCCGAGGAACGACGCCGCTGCTGTGGAATGACACTACAAAACGAGGGCATTGGCTATCCAGATTTGGATGCTCTGTTGCAGCATCCTGTGGACCTGGAATTCATCATAGAGCTGACCTCGATTGAGCTGCCTGAGCAGTACGAAAAGGAGCGCTGGCAAATGTCCGACGACGAGAAAATGCTGGCCACCAACACACTGAGGGAGCGGGGAAATGGGTTCTACAAATCGAATCGATATACCGATGCTGAGACCTGCTATCGCGAGGCCGTGGGCATTGTTGAGCAGCTCATGCTCAAGGAGAAGCCACACGATGGTGAATGGATGGAGCTGGCTGCGATCAAGACACCATTGCTGCTGAACTATGCCCAGTGTCGTCTCATTGCCGGGGACTTTTATGCCGTCATCGAGCACTGCAACGAGGTGCTGAATCTGGATCCAGGAAATGTAAAGGCTCTGTTCAGGCGGGCCAAGGCACATGCTGGTGCTTGGAATCCGATGCAGGCACGTCGTGATTTCATTGATGCTCTGGCTCTGGATAGCAGCCTCAAGTCGACTGTGGCCAAGGAGCTGAAATCGATTGAGGAGCAGCAGCAGGCTCGCAACGTTCAGGACCGAATACACATGCAGAAGCTCTTCTAGAATATAAGTGTTGCGAACCTCCTGCTAATGCTCCTGGTCTATTGGAGTAACTATGAGACCTGCTGCTAACAGTTAGCCGAACCCTCCATTTTCAGCATTCTAGGAAGCAGACGCTTTATACCTTTATTCTCGCTGGCCAACCTGTTGCTCACCTGCTGGGCTCTTTACAAGTTAATGCGGACGATGAGGCAGAGACGCATACGGGCGATTTGGTGAGGGCCAAAAGGCCCAGTGTGGAGGGTGCTTGGTGTGATCTATCTATCTGTCGTATCATTCTGTGAGCATTGCATTTCGGCAAAATCGGAATTTCGGTTTCCACAGCACAGCACAATGCACCACATGAAGCAAGCCAGTCATTCATCTCTGGACTTTAAAGTAACTACAAGAATGTTTTAATCCCCAAGAGGGCTAAATTTCAATCCTTCTCCCTATACTTACATCCAATATTAAGCAACAAGTTATACTCTGTATATTATAATATATTATTATATGTGTCTGTGTATATTACGAATAGTTTATAAGTTGTTGCTCTTCGTAGCGTTTACCGAGATGAAAACAAAACAAAAAACACAACCAGAAAAGTTTCCCCCAATGTCCAATGTTGTAATCCCTATGTATTCGATTTGTACATCGATCTAGAAACTATGTAACTATCCTAAGACTAGAAATACTATATGTATATGTGTAAGCATGTGTATTCCATACATGTATTGGCTGTAATTTGTTTGTAATTGTTGTATGAAATTTTGATTGTGAAAAAATATTAAAAATCGTCTTGAAAACGGCACAGGATTTTGGATTATTATTCGTAATATTTAACAACATTTGAAAGGTAAACTGCAACTATTTACAGATTGTTTAAGATGGGAAGTCTTTTGGACATCATTTGTTGCATTTTCTGGGCAAAATTAAGCATAGAAAAATGCATATAAATAATACTTCCCATGTAGCAAAATTTATTTATTTGTCAGATTATATTTGAGGTGATATTAGACCCTCTCTTGTTCCCCGTCCAAATATTTATAGATCCTTTGCCTGCAACAGCAAATGACGTAGGAGATAACCGAAAAAATAAAGAAAACTGAAATCAGGCTAAATACAGATTTTCGCCATTTGGTGGCCCACTTTCCAGGGACACACCTGAGTAGAGGCTGCAACGAGAGAGAGAGAGAGAGCCTGGAGGATGACCTAGATTTAAAAATAGATTCCAAAGGTGTGCGCAAGGGGTGTGTGAAAGGAGAAGAACAGTTGACTTTTGGATAAATCATTTTGATTTGCATTTACTAATTTAAAATCACGATTAAGTGTGGCATTAGTTAACGATTAATATACACAGTAAATACACGTTAATTACGTACTAAGAAAATCTTTGGGGGGCGATTGGTTTGGTCCTGCACAGAGAGAGACTCCACAGGTGACCCTCTACAGTCGCCACAGACGACTGCTGTTGCCACCGGTGGCCCCCTCTGCCTCGCCGCGCAGCTTGTTGTCATCGGTGCGCCACACGAACGGCTCCAGGCGGTCCTCATCGTCCAGAAAATTGTTAATGGCCTCCAGACTGGCAATATTCTCGTGCAGCAGCGAGTTGCAGCGACTCAACTGATGGGAGACGCTCCGGATCTTGGCAAACTGTTCGGCATACGAGGCATAGGTCTTCTGCATGTCCACGAAGCTGGCAAAGAGTGTGGTGATGGAGTTGCTGACGACCTTTGTGCGCTCTACCAGGTGGTTCTGCTCGCTGGACACATAGCAGGCACACAGATTGAGATGCGTCTGCATGCGCGTGCAAATGTTGATGAGATGCTGCGAGTGCAGACGCTCCAGGATCTCAGCATCTCGCGTGTATGTGGCCGAGCTGATGGACTCCCGCAGAACGGGCAGGAATTGTGGAATGCTGCGAAGCCTGGCCAGATCCGGATCGATGTCATCGTTGGTGTCCCTTGCACCGGGCTTCACAATCACAATGCTGTGGCTGGACACCGTCGACTGGGGCCGCTTCGGCTTGCTGGTGGTTGTGAAGCCGCCCGGGTGCGACTTCCTGTTGGCCGCCCGACTCGCGCTGCTCTGCTGCAGCAGGTGGGCGGGCTTGGAACGAATCTTGGGTGAGTCCCCGATGGGTCGGTCTGTGTAGGAGACATATGGCAAGTCGGAGCATACACTCAGCGGCGGCGATGGCGGCCGACTCAGCTCCGAGCTAGCCGGCGATGAGGCATCCGCTATAATCTGCTTGCTGGCTATCACAATGCTGGCCGGTCCAGTGCCCGGCACCGTATGTTGTCTGTTCAGACCAGCGCCGCGCCGCTTGTTGGCCGCCGCCGTTCCGGCTGCCGCTGCCAGGGCCATGGAGCTGCCATCGGGTAGGCCATCGCCACCGGGCATATGTTTGCCTTCGAAGATCTCGTGGCCGTCGGCCTCGGCCCGCTGCTGGGAGTGCTCGGCCCCCATTTATCGATTGATTAGTGGTTAGGGCTCTTGAGGCACTCCCAGTCTCCTGTTTGAACCGATTGAGCCCGGCCCGCGGCTGTTTTACTCTGCTGCAGGTAGTGATCCGTGCATTAGTTTGTTTACTTGTTGCATCATTCCAGTACAATCTACGCTCTTGCAAACACTGTGAAAATAGCCAAACAAAATAACAATGGAAACTCGGATTCTGCGATACGCGTTCACAGAAATGCACTAGCGCGTCCTTCTGATTGGGCAGAACACCAACATATCGAAAATACCGATAAATGGCAGTAGTCGAAGCCTTGGAAATACCAGAATATACTCTTTTTAAACTGTTTTTATAACGGTTTTAAAAAACATTTATTTATATTATATATTTATTGCTATTAATTTCCACGAAACTTGATTACAACACTCTCCGCTATAGGAGATTGTATAGAAATTATTTGTAGTAAGTACATGTCATACGGTTCCAAGTAATTTACAAATGCTTACGCGTCCATGGAAGAGCTGCACGGGAGCCTCACTTTCTGGTTTTGCAGGAGAGAGAAAGGGAGAGAAATAGCAGTTCGTGCATTTTAATGCTCCGCTGCATTCATAAGATCAGTAGCAGCGTGGCTGAGAGCGCGAGAGATAAGCCATGTAGGAAGTGTTCTTCGTTCTCTCTCCAGTGTTTGTATTCGTGCCTATCTTTCTTATGTTTTGATTCTAGCTTTCCTCTCGCTCTCTCTCTCTCTCTCTCTCTGTGGGTGACACACTCTGAGCACACAGAGTACTACGAATTTGTTGAGATCTTTGGCAGGGTCCGGCGTAGGGCTAAACAACAAAGGGCATTCGTTCTTTGTCTTTGCTAAATTAGGATTTCCAGCATTTTTATCGCGTTTGCTGTCAGGGGTATCGGGGGGACGCTGTGCTTTTGAGGTGCTAATTCGTTGGGGTTTGCTTACTGGTGTCGATTTCCGTGATGTCAGAACCAGAGACGAACCCGCCGGCAAACCACACACATCATGGAGAGAGTGAGTCCCGACTCGCGATTTGTAGTCTGGAAAAACAGTCTAAGATCTCCATACACTTATTTCGCAGGGCAAGCCCCAGCATATTCTGCAGCTGAGCGAGGAGCAGAGACGCCGTTTCGTGGACTCCTTTGATCGGGTGCTGAGCGACATCGATGGCGTTGTATGGAACGTGGAGTCCAGTGTGCCGCGGGCCGTGGACGGCTATGCGGCACTGCAGCGTGCCGGCAAGGACGTAGTCTTTGTGACCAACAACAGTGTGCGCACCGTCGACCAGTGCGTCAGGCGTTTCGAGAAGCTGGGCCTCCATGTGGCCCCCCAACAGGTTTGGCATCCTGCCCAGTCGATTGTCCTCTATTTGCGCGACATTCAGTTCGAGGGTCTGATCTACGTCATTGCCAGTGCGCCGTTCAAGGCTGTGCTGCGGGAGGCGGGCTACCAGCTTCTCGATGGCGTGAGTAATCCTCCATCAATCGATATTCCTTATCCTCTATATATGTATATCCTTGACAGCCCAACGAGTTCATCGAGGAGAGCTACGACAGCCTGGCCAAGACCATCTTTGATCGCCAGCCCGTGCGCGCCGTCATAATCGATGTGGACTTCAATCTGACATCGCCGAAGCTGCTGCGCGCTCACATGTATTTGCGGCACCCGGAGTGCCTGCTCATTGGCGGCGCCACCGACCGCCTGTTGCCCGTGGCAAAGGGTGTCAACATCATCGGTCCGGGGCCCTTTGCCTCCATCCTGGTTGAGGCCAGCGGCCAGCAGGCTCTCACGCTGGGCAAACCCGGACGCGAATTGGGCGAACTGCTGATCAAGCGCCTGAAGATCAGCGAACCGCACCGTGTGCTCATGGTGGGCGATATGCTGGCCCAAGACATACGCTTTGGACGACAGTGTGGCTTCCAGACGCTGCTCGTCCTCAGCGGTGGCTGTTCGCTGGAACAGCTCCAGGCGGAGACCTCGCCCGACCTGGTGCCTGACTACTATGCGGATACTGTGGCCGATGTGGCTCAGCTGCTGGGCGAGGAACCAAAGTCTCATGTCTAGCACTCTTTCTATATCTTTTTACTTGTTTTTCCTAGTTTAACAAAGTTGTTTTTCCAGTCGGGGGTAATGGGTAATTACTAATGGGTGATTGCTAATCAGCACAACATCATATTTTAATCGTTATCTGAAATACAGTTGGCACTTCAAACAATACACTATGACGGCTATGGCTACACATGGAATGGGACGCGCTGCGCTGTGATACGACCACTAGATACCCTTTAAATGTTCTTTTACCTTTAGGTAAAGGCTGAAGCTCAAGCGTCAATCGATATCGACCAGATCCCCTAGGCAATCGGCAACAAAGTCGGGCAGCTGTGGATGACTCGCTGGCAGGCGTGTCACATCCGAGGCCTTGGTGCCGCCAGTGAGAACGAGCAGCGTCTGGTAGCCATTGGCGCGGGCAAACCCAATATCGCTGGCCAGACTGTCGCCCACAAAGAGGACACGTTGCGGCGGTATGTCCGGATGGCGTTGCAGCAGTAGCTGGCGCAAAGCATCGCCCGGCTTGCCCAGCACCAAGGGCTGGCGGCCCACCGATTCGGTCACTACGTTGACAAAGGCTCCAGGACCTGAACATTAAAGAGAGACTAAAGCGTAGAAGCAGGAGTCATGGGTATGCACTTACCTATAATCTCGCCCTGGCCAAAGGGTATGAGCGCATCCGAGGCACCAGCCAGGAACAGGCACTGAGGATTCTGCAGCTCGACCTGTGCACGCATCAGCTTGGCCGCCGACATATTGAAGTCCACATCGATGACAACGGCCTGTACAGGCTCGCCGTCAAAAATGGCCTCATGAAGATCCTTCAGGCTCGTGATGACAGTCGGTCCGGTCTAAGGGTGGACCACAAACAGGTCACCAAGGTTCCGGCATTGCTCCGGCTATCGACTCACCTCTTGGGCCAAGTGGAAGCCTGCATCGCGGAGCAGCTGCTTGAAGGGTGCCGTAGCCAGACAGTAGATGAGTCCCTGGAACGCTATAGACTTTAGATGATCGCAAATGGTCTGGGCCGGATGCACGATTTGCTCCTTCTCTATCTTCAGGTTGCCCTGACGGGCAAACTTCTCGATGTGCTCCTCCGGAGAACTGATGCTGTTGTTGGTCACAAATGTCAGCCGCTTGCCCAGTTGCTGCAGATGGGCCAGAGCCCGTGCGGAGCCGGGTATGAAGTCGCGAAGCGGATACCAGACCACACCTGGAACGACGCAGAGTAAAAGGAAAGCTGAAGGGTTCTTGTGGGAGTTAATTTCTCACCATCACAATCGCAAAAGACCAGATCAAAGGAGTCCAAAAATTGCTGACGCTCTGCTCCATGCAGCTCCTTGAGATGCTTCGACTGCCGGAAACAGAAATAATGAGGGATTAGCTGGAACCCAACACACTGTGGTGGTGCCCTCTAGTCTCTGGGGTTCGCACCCACCAAACTCATTACGAAAGCTGACACAAATCCAGATAACAGATCCCAAATGGAGGAGAGAGCGAGAGAGAGAGAGCTCAGAATCCCATTCAAGCGTTACCAGTCGCAACAGATTTGTGACTAAGCTCAGCGGCTCAACAACCCAGCGCTGGAAGACACCTTCAAAAGATAATTTAGAATGCCGGCTCTAGAATGCTCTCCCCTCCCAAGAACCGGTTGCATTATGATAGTTTTTACAAATTGCATTAGTCGCCCCATGCTGCTGCTTTTTTGTTTTTTTCCATGGCTCGCTGCATCGGCATCTGCCTCTGGCTTGGGTGGGTGGCTGCAAGTGTGTCACTTGGATACGCCTCAATTGAGGCCTCCTCGCTGGCTTGTCACTGCTGGGTGTCACTTTCAATTGAATGCTGTCGTGCTAAGCCACTCCGTTACAATTGATTTGCTTTCATCGCCTCTCGATTCGTTTTATAATGCTATCCGGTTCTGTTTTTGTCTTAATTAAGCGCTCAAATGATACACTCTCTCGCTCTCTCTCTCTCTCTCTCTGTATACAAATTTGTTTCTTATCTGCTTTGGATATGCGCTGGAACGTGGAGCATATCATATATGTAACTATTTTTTGACTTAAATTCCATTTATGTGGAATAAAGTCTCTGGGCATCAAGACTCTTTTCTGACTGAGAACAGCATTTACGATCGAAAACATGTCTAAAAAGTTTACATAAATGTAAAAATTAAGGTGGTATTGAGCTTTGCTGAGATATGTATTATCCCTTCCCTATTTATCAACACCCTTAAAGGAACTGAAATGCTGAAAGAAATATTTTTCTTTAAATTTGAAAACATTTTCCATGTCGTTTTTTTTTGGTTTCGAGTGGAATGAATGAATGTTTAAAAAAATGTGCTCAATCTTTAAAGATCTATAAATAAATAACAATTAAAGCTATTATTCTCTTTTGATTTGTTGACTGCTGTTTGAATCATTCTTTATTCGGGGCGTTTTGTTTTGTTTATATCCCTTTCATAGTCGTATTCGTAATTTGTTAACATTATTGTTATTATTTTTGTTGCTGTAAATAGCAAACGCAATCGTTGCAATCGTATGCATAAATATGTTTATCAAAACAACAATTCACTTTATACTATATATATTTTGGGGGATCATCTTTTAGAGATTGTACATACAAAAGATACCTCCTAGCTTACTCCGCAACGGATTCAACAATCAATAAACAATGCGGGGAAGGGAGTGTGTGGGATAGCGGACCGATACATATTTGTGTCATATGTTTGTGTTCGTTTTGTTGTAGGTAGAGCAAGTATATGTATGTATGGTAAGGTACATTGGATTGTTTCTTAGTGTTTCAGTAGATACATAGCACACATGCATGTACATATGTACGTAAATATGTATGTACTATGGTGTATAATTCGTTTTGTTTGTTTGTTCTTTCATGATCCTCCTATACATTCCTTTGCAGGGCAAAACAATAAATAATACAATACAAAATAAACAAATAGTGCACACATTTTGGACATTGGACATTGAATACCCCTTCTCTACAAAGTACAAATATAACTATATATATCTTTCTATCTATCTATCCATTATGTTTAATCTGTGTATGGTTGATGTGTGCTGGCGCTGGCCAAAGTAAAGATGATTCTTTACATAAATTAACTACATCTGATTCCAACTGTAATCTCATTCCAACAATAATGTTTATAAAGTGTTGCGGTATACCCTAAGTATATCAAAATGCACTTTCTTGAGCATTTTCGATGCAAAAAACACACTCACACACATTATCAAAAATCATCTTAAGTACAAAGCACAACAACTGCTGGACGTGTGTCCGCGTGTAAATACAAAGAATTCAACGAAAAATCAAGGAATGAACTTATATACATAAATATATATATGTATGTATATATAGGCAGGCAGGCAGGCAGGCAGGCGTTTCAGGCTTTCAAACAAATGAGGTTGCATCCTCATTGCCTCCTCCATGTCGCTGGCGCAGCACCGACGACTCCTGGCTCTTGGTCTGGTGCAACTGGTTCTGCACTGCGGTCTGGGCCTGCAGCATGGCATGCTGCTTCTCATACTCAATGATGTGTTCGCGCAGCAGGAAATTCTCGCGCTTGATGCGCTTCAGCAGACGGCCAGAGACATCGGGCACGGCCCAGCGCAGCACACCCTGCAGCATATTGATGATGTTCTGAGGGAAGCCACAACAAAATATTAGCTGAATTCAGTTATGTTCCTCCATGAGAATGGACATACCTGATAGATGACTATGAAGGCGAGGCGACCCGTAAGTATTTTCCAGTAGATCATGGGCCGCTTGTATGGATGATCATCTGTGGGCGGATTCCGGAACTCTGTGTAGCGACACTCTGTCTCGTTAACATACTGACTGCCGCCCAGCAGTGGCTGAACCTGAAAGTCCTTCGTGTTGAAGTACGCCAGAGTAAAGTTCAGATAACCATTGAGCTCCCGGTCGTCCGTTGAGGCTGCGTACACGATTTTCGGTATGAGGTTGGTGCTAAATGCAATTATCATGGCCTACAAATTGACAGCTTAGAGAGATTTCTACATTGATTTCTGTTTTGCATCAGACTCACGCTGGAGGCCACAGCTATGCGTGTGACCACAGTCATGATGTTGTGCCACACGCCAATATCCCGGGCTCGCATGCCCACGGGGCGTCGCAGGAAGCGCAACATTTTGATGGCATCCAAACGAACTTCGATTACATTATTGAGCAGCGCCAGCAGCGGTGCCAGCGGAAAGGCCAGGCTGAATAATGTGATAAAACCGAATTGCACAACTGCACAGCAGCGCCATAAAGAGGGAGATGGAAGAAAGATTTGAGAGATGGGTTAAGATGGGTGCTTTGGGACAACAACCCGAGACCTACCCATTTCCAGGTACTCCACGTAAAGTGAATTATTCTCGGCGGGCAGTAGATTGTAGTCCTCGGTAAACTGATTGTAGGGCACCAGTCGCTGCTCCTTGTGGCTCTTGTACCAGCCATGGCGGTAGATCATCTCCTTGACAGTGCGCATCAAATAAGGTATGAGCATCTCGACAATGGCATTCACTGCCTGCTTGCCGGCCATTATAATCACCAGCTGCATGCAGAGCTCCATGAGACAGCCGCCCGGATTGCACTCCTCCTGACGGAAGCCCAGCACGCGATTATATTTGGCCGGATAGCCAACAAACTTGCCCTTGAGAAAGGCAATGTAGAAGAGCGAGGAATAGTAGTTGACAAACTGGAACACATAGTTCTTGATGGTTAGACTCTCGTCGTACTCCGTCTGGGTGCGACAGTACTCGTAGTTGGTCAGACGTATGGCCAAATTGGAGTAGACCAGGTCCAACAGCGAGATGACAATCAGATCTATGATGCCCGCCGTCATGGGCAGTATCATCACCTTGAAGGTCATGGAGTTCTCGCTGCCGAGGATGCTGTGTGAGGCACGCTGTGCCATTCGATAGATGATGATGCCCGCAATGGCAATCACTGATATGCAAATCTGTCAAATGAAACAGGATAAAGGACTAGGCGAACAAACGAAAAAATCTCTGATGTACTCACAAACAACACCATGATGCTGTAACTGGTAAAATTGGGCAAGAACTTGATGCTCCAAAAGGGCACGTCCGGATCCAGAGTGGTGCCCTGCGTCTTGCCAGCCAGCTTCCGCGAGTGCGATATCTTGGCCAGATACTGTGGACGCGGATGCTCCACATGATGCGTGAATCCCGTCAGTCCCCAGCGATGCACCAGCCCCGCCGAATAGCGTTTCCAGAACTCCAAATAGGTCACCGACCAAATTGCCATGGCCAGGGCGAATACCACCGTCATATTGTTGTCTATTAGATAATTAAACTTGGAAGACGTGCACGTCTCGTTCAGACGCCAATAGTCGCAGCTGCGATCGCACTGCGGACACATGATGGTCCCACTGTCCTCGCAGATATCGCGACTGATCGGATCACTGCTCCACGTCACAAAGCCGTAGAGGAAGCAGAGCAAACCAAATATGCTAATGGGTATCAGCATTTGTGTGTAGAATCCCAGCCAGGCAAAGTACAATGCCACCTTGGCACCGAAGTAGTCTTTGATTTGGTCCAGTGGCTGGAGGCTGTACAGAATAGATACAAAGGATTAATACCAGTACTTATATTTATATGGGAAAGTACAGTCTAGTGTCAATTTTGGCAACTAATTTCAACATTTAAAAAATCTCTATGTACAGCAAACGTAAACTCAAACTCAAACTTTTCCCATCTTAACACACATGAATCATTTCCCCAGGCCTCCCACTCTTACTTCTTCCACTTGGTTATGTTGGCCCACTCCTTGAGGAGACGATCCCTGTCCGCTTTCTGCAATAAAAAAGAAACACAAAAACAAAATAAGTATATACGCATGGGAAATATGTATGTGATGCAAAACTCACATCATGCAGGGTGTAGGCGCATGTATAGATGCCATCTTGGACGAGCTTCTCGATGCCTAGATTGTCGGCTGTTTCCTCGCCCTCGAGAAAATGCTGCCGCTGCAATATAAAGTTAATGATGGAGTACCGAGTGCTGTCATCGAAGTAGTTCGGATGCTCTGTGTCGTACAGCTCCAGATAGTTGCGCGAGAACTCCAGGTGGATGCGCGGTTCGCGTTCGGGAAAGAGCTCCGTGTTTAGCTGCACGGAACTGAAGAGACTGCGGCACATGCGGGTGAAGCAGGACTTGAAGGCGGGCGCCGCCTCATCGAAAATCTGATCCTGGCCGGGTATCGGCTTCAGTGGCACCTTGATCTTCAGTATCTCTGCATAGCGATAGAGCACCTCGAAGGGGGCATGAATCTTGATAAAGTGCACGCGCTGCACTTTGTTGTGCTCCAGCTGCAGGCCCTCACGCTGCAGATTCGCCTCGAAGATCTCTCGCTTGTGTCGATGATCCTCCACCTGATCCTCGCCATTGTAGGCCAGCACAAAGTCCACACTACGTTTTCCATCATCAAAGCGTCTATAGGTCTGTAGAAACCAAAAAATAAAAGAGAGAAACAACGAAAGAGCTTTAGAAAATCCGTATATGAATCACGCTGAGACGTAAAGACGACAGA